CTTTTCGTGCTTTTGTTTTTACGATTCTCCAACCGTTTGTGTGCATGTACGTTTTCTCTTTAGCGTTTTCTTGATTTTGTTGGGATTCCGCGCTGGTGACGACCAGTCTTCACACTTGACCCATGCAGACAAAAGCAAACGAAATAAATAAATATCCACATTCCACATATTCCCACACACGATTCACATGCACACACACACACACACCCACACGCAACGCTACCCATGCGAAATCAACTGGATTTCAATTCATTCTTTATAGATTTTGCTCATTGCTGCACCCAAGCGATAAAACGAACAACAACGTATCGATGCAAACACACGATATGATTTATGATGATGCCAAGTCGTTCAAATACAAATTTTCACCAATTTCACGAACGCTGTTTAGATAGTGACCATTTGGTATGAAATACGATGAAGCATTATAATATTTATTCAATAAATTTTTAACGTGTATTTGAAGCTCATTTCAGAGTAATCATTCTGGTGTGCCTTACCATTTTTCATTTGGATGACCCACAACTTGCAAAGGGATGTTCACACAAACGTGCATGGATTTTTATTAAAATCCCCAGAAATTCGCAGAAAAAAACAAAAACAACAAAATCATTTTATATCCAAAACCATCACCAACACTTTCATTCTCTCGCAAAATACTTTGGTGTTGTACTTTCACATGAAATCAATTTTATGGCAAACATTTTTGGGTTTGGAAAATGTGTCAATGTCTCTAAATGTGATGAAAATAAAATACAATTTTCGAAATCGAGTATAAAGCTCGTTTTACATTTAATTCCATACCCAGCTGTTATTACGTCCAATCAATCATATTTAGTTGTAATTTAGTTTCAAAAATTCTGTATATGTATTCATATTGTCATAAGTGCAAGAAAAATGCTCCATCAAACGGTTCAATTGGTTTGGTCTCAATTTATCCATATGCCATATGTCTTCCGTTTGAGTGCTGTGAAATTGAGTGTAAATTCAAAAGGATTCAAATTGATTTTGGAAAAATTCCAAATTCAATCGAGAGCAAAATGTTCAACTATGTTTGAAACTATTCCACATAATGTGTTTCCTTTGCTTTTGACTGAAAACTAAAAGCGTATTTTTTCCCAATTTGCAGAGTCTTTGACATGAAAATAGCACAAAATCAATTGAAATAATTGCATTTAATTGAAATTCGGATTCGGATTAATTTATGTAGTAATTAAAATCGTCAGCCCAAGAACTTATTTTCGGATCAAGTTATATAATTTTAGAAAGAAGTAATGAAGAAACAATCATTGTTTTGCGCTTTGCGTAGTCCATGGAAAATATTTGTTGATGACGTCCAAGAATTTGTTTCTTCATTTAATATTAAGAAAAGCACCAATGTATTTAAGCATCGATCCAAACTGGAATCTCCTATTTTTATGATAACTTTTTTTTCCATTTTTAACGTTCCAATTATGCTGGTTAATATTTTCATTTGCAAATCGTGTGCAGCATCGATAAAAAAAAAACGGCGCTGAAAAGCCTCGTACACAAAGAGTGGCGTTTCGAATATACTCGTTTGGAAAAGCTTTAAATGTGTGAATTCACTCGATTCCACGGTCACATTTTTGATTTTCTGTGCTTCGTCATTCACATCCACAGCCTATTCCTTTCTATCTCCCTCTTTCCCTATGTATCGCTTATTTATCAGTTTTTTTTCCTCTATGTACGGTTACATTGGAAATTTATGGCATGAGTTCATTCAAAGTTTTTATTTATGTGTCCGAAATCAGATATTTTGAACATTAGTGTAATCTACTATTAATTTTGAATATGTGCGCCTGGAAAAACATCTTGTCGATGGGGAACGAGCGGGGATGAAGATTGGTGTTTGTGTCTACGGGTCTGTTGTATGCGAGCTAAATGCACGCTTAACGATACCCATTTAACTCTTCTCAACGACGACAGCCATCCATGCATTTTAGTGTCTCTGCTGTTATGGCCATTTAAGTTTAGGATGACAATCAAATGCAAGTACCTGAGTGTTGCCGGTATTTTGTGCGTTAGCCTGTGTGTGTGTGTGTGTGTATTCAACATTTTAATGCGTGGTAGCACATCCGAGTCACATCCAAATAGTTGATACAATTTCAGCATTATAGTTAAAATCATTTAAAATTATATTATCACATTAATTTTGTAGCAACAACCGTTCCGATTTAAGTTGAAAATGGGTTAATTATAATTTAATGGATTGTGTAAATTGTAGTGCTTTTCGGTTCCGCTTTCGTATTCCAATTCCCTCTCGTCCATTTTTCTGTCCATTTCTCTCTCTCTCTCTCTCTCTCTCTCTCTATCTCTCTCTACCATTCACGCGAGTGGTCCAGATTTCAGCTATCTTATCGTTTTGTAGTGAATTATTTTCTCGTTGGTGTTTGTTTTGAGCTGGTTAAACGTTTTTACTATTCGGGGAGGTTCAATGACTAGTTTATATGCCGAGGGTGTTTGAGAGTGAGAGTAAATGGATAAAAGCGGGTTATGGCCAGTCTGTGCTTTATTTATTTCATTTTGCCATCAACTGAATGTCGAAGTTATATTTGGTCGGTGAAAAATTACAAAACCCGACTACAGCGACAGAAAAAAAATCAAGGGAAATCAACAAAAATACAGTTTAAAATGAGCAAAAGGTAAACTGATGATGAACAAAAATCCGACAATTCAACGTGCACAATCCCTGGCATTACCTTTTTTTTCATTTCTGAGCGACAGTTTGTCAGAACATAGCAACACGCACATTTCTCACTCAGACCCACGCTTTATCACTTCCGTCCCATCCCCCTCGAGCTGCAGTTCGTTTGAGTTGAGTTCATCAGTGTTTGGAATAATTATGGTGACGACAACGCGAAAGGAATCACTGTGATTTCGAAGAACGAAAGATGTGTTTTTAGCACGAAACGTATACACACAATAGACAAAAACAGGAACACAACAACCCACCGATTACAGTAAACACATATGTGAATTTCTTTCTTCACTTCGCATTTAATCAAGAATAATGTACTTTATGAGATTATTCAGTATAAATATAAAGATAAATTCTCAACAACGTCTACACGCACACGCACATACATACGCAAACTGAAACCGAACAGTAATGTGTAGATCCTGGATAGGGAGGACGGGATACAATATGTTTTATTTCATCTTTTATGATTACATTTGATGTCAGTAACGTTGTTATACTGATGTTGTTGGTTGTAGCGGATGACGGATGTGAGTGCGGCGGCCGTCTTTTTCTCTTCCTTTCATTACATCCGAAAATGATTAAAAATAAAGCATAATTTTCGTTTGTTTACACTGATGTTTATGCGCCCAAGCAACTTCACTGACACGGTGTGTGTGTGTGTATTAGAATTTATTTGTAAACATAAACGACGCGCTTTGCCGAGCAAAAAAGACACACACACACACATACGGAACACGAGAGGAGAGAAAAAGAAATCTGGCAAAAATTATAATTTCCATTATAAACCGAAAATTACAATCGCTGTCAAAACTCTTGACAGCGGAAAAATTGGAAATGAAAGCAATCGTTTCAAGTGCGAAAACAAATTCTAGGAGAAGAAAGCGCACCGAAACAATCAAATGAGGATGAATATTTCATTTATTTTTACGACGATGATGGAAACGGAACATTTCGTTGTTGAAATCAGAGATCTCATTTTGTATACGCCTATATCTCGAGATATTAATAGCTCCAATTTTTTGGCGATGACTTTGTTTATTTTTCAATAGCAGCTACCGAACGAATGCACAATTTACATTGCCAAAACATTAGTTATGGGGATTTTTGTTTTGTTTATTTTCCGGAATCACAATGTGTGTGGAATGCATAAAATAAAGCGCCATCTGTGCCATGATTCTTTTTTTCGTATAAGTCCAATGTATTCAATTTGAACGCTCGGAAAACGTTCAACATCATCATTCCATATAGTATTGCATAGTTCATTTTCCATAGACTTGGTGGCGCTTATATTGTGACAAACGTCAAAGCATAGGATTGTATACATTACATATTGTGATTCCGTATTTTCTGTTGTTTGTAAACAAATCTGCCTATCTTTTTGCATTGCCTCTGTGCATAGCTTATGTCCATACTAAATGTTCAGAGGTAATGCAAAAAGATAGGCAAATTTGTTTACAAATAATAAAAAATAAAGAAAACAAAAATCTCTATGTGGAATGTATTGGAAATGTAAAACTAAATGGCGAACATTTTACGTCTCTGTACTATGTACAGTGGCAATGCGTTGATATAGACAGGATTGTTGATAAATAACGGTAAATAAATAAAACAAAAATCTGCATCTCTCTTGCTTGTGTTTTCTCCGTTGTTGTGTCTTTGTTTGTGTATTCGTTTGGTAGCTGCTATTAAAAAATATGCACAGCTATCGCCTAAAAATAGGAGCTACTAATATCTCGAGATATAGGCGTATACAAAATGAGATCTCTGGTTGAAATGCATGCAATGTGTGGAAATGAGTTGTGAGGTGATTTTTTTCGGTTGTTGTTGTCGGAAGAGGCTTTTGTTTTGTTATGCGTAAACGCATAAAATAGAGAATGAATGAGTGTATGCGTGTTTGCATGTGAATATTTAACGAATAATCAATTAACATTAAACATTAATTATAATTTATCAATGTCACTGGATGTGTGTATGTGTGGAGCGGATGAAAGCGAAAATACAGATGCGACGCTCCATGGAATATCACAGTTTTCATTTTACGAATGCATACAAATTAGCCCATTCATTGTTCAGACTGTTCATTTAACTCACCCGAAAAATCTACATCTTCTCATGCAAATGAATCCGCCACATGCTAAATATATAATGTTTCGTCTCTCATCGTGTGCTTTCCACCGAGGAATTCAAATGGCAATTTGGAAAAGAAAGAAAAAACAAACAGATTTTTTCAGTTTTGCGTTTTTATGCTAAAGCTAATTTTATTTCAAACACGAGATAAAAACATGACCGCCTCGAATTTATTATAATCTCGGGCAGCGAATGGTTTCGCATGTTTTATAATTTGCTAAGTAATGCACAGATTTAAATTATTTGATTGGATCCAATGGACTGGTTGTCTTTGTTCTTCGTTACACGATCTGGTCGCTATACGGCTGGCGCTGCCGCCGGTTTATCTGAATCATATCGTACGTATTTATCCATTTCGAATTCTTCATCATCACAATAGTCTTTGTCAACGACCAGCACTTGGACAATGTCCTCAAATTCGTAGGTTCGTTTCAGGAATGTGTCGGTGAGTTGGAGTTGTGTTACCGAAATCAGGCCAATTTTAACAGGGAATACGCTCAATCGAAAATCTTTGCTGGCTTCGGGTTCGATGGTGCCGAGTAAAAAATCCGTTGAACCCGTATATTGACACCCTAATTCCGGTTTGGCGTTCAGTTTTAATTGCAATTCCATGACGCGTTCGCTGGTGTTCGTGACACGACACATAAAATCGAATACTTCGCCAATTTTCACAATGTTTTTGGCTTCAATTACCGTCAATCGAATGTCACCATATTCGATGGGGCTGCGTTCCAATTGACTGGTTTGTAATCGACCTCGTTCACCTAAATTGGAACGCCACAAAATGTCCAATTTTCCGATATTTTTTTCCAATTTCAATTGTTTCAAATTGCCAGCCAGCTCCGGTATCGGTTTAATACAGTACAAAAATTGACACGAGTTCTGCGGTTGCAGCATATTTTTTGATTTAAACACAGATTCCCCATTCGATAGTGTATTCAACGATGTGACGGTGTATTTATCGGTATTTTGCAGCTCAACAGTTTCCAAGCATATCGGACCGGCGGTGATATTTTGTATTTGCACTTCTAAATAGACTTCATCGGTTTCGGCATTATAGAATTTCGTTTGCACATCCAACGGCTTGAGTACATGGAATTTAAAAAATTTCCGAAAACTCTCATCGAGACCGGCTGGTGTTTTATAATGGACTTCGCACACCAAAATATGTACACCAATTTCACGCACTTCATGGTGGATTACATCGTCAATCGTTTCATTTGCATTCAATGTAATATTCATCGGTTTATTTTCATTGATGGGCAACGATATTTTTGCCTTATCTGATTGCAATTCGGCTGATACCGACACCGATTCCACCGGATGCGTTGTACAGTTGTGCAGGCAAATATAACTGGAGAATGTCTCGCCCAAATAAATATTACCAAAACTTTGTGGCAATAGCATGAATTGACCACCGGCAATGTCCGATCCCTTCACGTTTGTCGCATCATTTTCACGCAATTGATTGAATAAATTTCCGGGCAAATCGGTTGACTCCGACACAAACACATCGGGCGAAACTAACGTGGGCCTCGTCAATCGCATCACTTTCAATGCTAACAAATGATCTTTTTTCGGCTGAACGACTGCCATTTCTATACACTAAAAAAACACGCAACGCTTTTATGACGCGAGAGAGTAAGAGAGACGGAAAAAAATGTCGGAATTCCACTCAATTTAATTTCAATTGCAATTTATTAAGTCCTAATTTAAACAATTATTTTATAATTGATACGATACTTGAAAATGCACCAGCATTTTTTCTGAGTTGTTTACCGAGTGTATGTGAGTATTGCTTACACGTCAAACGGACTGTCACACGGGCAAATGTCATGCGCACAATTTACGCGTCATTCACAATAGCACTTTAGGTATACATACGAAACCGTACAGTTAAGTACACGAACATCTATATGTTGTTTGCCTTTAGAATCGCCTGAAAACCAATTTAAATTCTCTTTAAGCCTGCGATTTCAAATAGACAGAACGAATGATATGACTTTCAATTTGATGCAACAAACAAAAATACTGGATTTGAATAAAGAAAAAATGTAAAGTCACTTTGTGTACATAAATGTATACTTTGTGTATTGATACATTAGGCTTCGTTTAGTTACAGAAAAAAAAATAGATGCCATGTACCATTCCCATCAAAAAGAGGTTATTAAACAGAAGTAAAGCGCTGAACACAAGAGTATCGATTCAATTTATCTTCCGCGTTTAGATGAACGGTCAAGATTACTAGAATTTATTTTAAAAATTTTATTCATTCCATTCTCTACAACCACACAAAGCTACAGTGCTCGATTCAAAATGCGCTCGTTCGCTTAATGAAAACAATCATATCAAGCGAAACTATCTCGAATAAAAGTTGTTATTACGCCTCTTTTTTTCAAATATTCGTTGCGAATGAAATTGCGTTGGATTTAAAATTGGAACAGCATATCCAACTGAAATTGAATTGTTGTATGAATTTTGAATTTAGTTTAGATTTCATTTGGATTAGTAATCCATTGTTTGCAATACACATCAATTCAATAAATATAATACCGTTGGGCTGAATGGTGAATCTAAACCGTTCTATATTCAAGTCTTTTTTTCTTTTGCGAGAAATTTCGCTACGCAAAAATAATGGAAACTTGACACAGTAACCACACTGGCTTGAAATAATGAACTACCTGAATGTCTTGCAATGGTTGACATAATTTTCCAGCATTTATGTCAATCCCGGTGCAAAGTAGGGAACATTCATGAGTAGGTTCTATTTGAATTTCAATCAGTGTCACTTGAATTGTAAAGTAATCAAGCCCAATGCTTGAGTAATCTAAGCCAAGCCACAAATTGCATGGCAACCCTCACCCCTTTTCTGAACACGACCATTTCGGAATCGTTCACGAAAACTAAACCGGCTAATTTTCGATCAAGGAAATGTAATTAACAAGCAATGCGATCAAGCAATGTTGAAATGTGTTGGTTGCCAAAATCCAAGTATGTTATAAAGGCATTACCAAGTAATCTAATTAATGTGATGCCATAATTAATTGTGGAATCAACTTAGAAATGCTTTGAAATGTAAATTCATATGAGTCATCCTTATCGACCAGCAGGATCAGTAGGATAATACTGTCTGTGTTAACAAAAGCATGTGCGAAACGGATGCAAAACAGTTCGAAGATTATCCTTGGTGCAGAGCTGGAGAGTGAATGGATGAGTGGAACGATGATGATGAAGAAGAAGAAGAAGAAGAAGAAGAAGACGAAGGTGAAGGAGAAAAGCAAAAAAATCAAACAGAACGTTGAAGCGCAGATGGGATCATGAATATCGCAACGCAACGAATTTATTCGTTAACGAGCCATGGAAATGGAATAAGTGAAATGAGACCAAACGATAGATTCAATTACCCGGAAAAGAACAAAATGTCAGGCTTAAGCAAGTGACACAAAAAAGATATTTATGCAAACAAGTTCTCGCTCCCATAGAGAAGTGACAAACATAAACAACGATGATGCTTAACGAAGAGTATCTCGTCTCTCTACTTCTTCTTCTCTCTCTCTCTTCTCTCTCGCTGTCGGTGTATGTGTGTGTGTAAAGACACTCACTTTCTCTTTTCTCTGCCTCTATACATATACAAATAAGGTAGCCAATGGGGACTGTCACCGTGTGTCTTCTTCGTCTATTTGAAGATGAAATTTCCCTTAATCTGCTTGATGTTAATAAAATTAGATATAAATCTTGTGGAGTACGTTGGCACGTTATTTACCATTGGCTTTCGCACAATACACATTCGTCGTGTTCGTTATCACTCACTTTTGAATGTCGATGTTTGTTGAAATTGAAAGGTCGGATAATCGGTTTCTATGAAGTAAAGTCTCTTTTATCAAGACTGTTTGCCATCTCAGCTAAACAGTCGATCGATTCGATTTTCGATACTTTTTTTCGAGTTAAAGGGAGTGAATTCACGACGACGGTTATTCAATCGTTCCGCACGATACACATTGACTCGAGCCTTTGAATCGACAGACAGAATAAAGGAAAACTGTATTTTCGAAATTTTCCATGTGCTCTAACTGTGGATGTGCATATGTGAAAGAGAACCATCAAAGTAAGGAAAAAATGGTGATATCTCATATAGTCAAGTCATCATTTTCCGCATGAACTAAAATATGAAATGAATTTTACTGATTATACAAATCACTCAATGAAAGTTTGTTGAAGTCTTTAATCAATCTGATGAAGATGAGCGCATTGCTTCGGAAATTCAAGAGAAAATCACAGAGAACGAATCTACAGTATATCATTATAGTCAATTTTAACGAGAAAGTGAAGTTTTTCATAGAAAATTGTGTTTCTTCAAATAAATGCGTCAATCTGTTAATTTACAGATTAGCAACAAGCTCAGCATCAGTGTTCAATCGGTCGTGGAAAGTACGAGGTATCAATTTACAGCTTGTTTACAAGATAACATAAGTGATGCATCAAGTATTTATCCCAAGATGTGTTTATTCCTTACAAACTCCTTCGCACGTATTTTGTCTTCTTTTCCTTCTTCGAGAAGAAAAACTCTTGCGAAGAATGAGCAAAATGTTGATTCTTTTGTGTTTTTGGAAATTTGAAGCGAATGTTGCTTCTAAATAAATTTCTTCTTCAAAAAATAAACAAATATTAGATTGAATCGTTTTTGAAATTGAATTTCCGATGTTGTTTTTAGAGCGTGATGCGCGCACATACGAGCATCTGCCGATGGGGCTAGATTGTTCGGGTCACGAGATACAGATAACATTAAAGCCGCTTTGTTCATCATGAAACAGATTCAATTTTGTTGACGAGATATTTTACTTGCACAACATCTTTATTATCGTTCCGTGAGATTTTAATTCGATTCGGCTTAAAAGCATTTATTTGGAGCACAATCTAGGTTACGGCCAAAAGAAGATGTGTAATTAGAGGATGTGAGCAGCAGTGGAGCACAAGAACGAACAACAACAGCAGCAACAAAACGCTGCAAACCTTTTTTTCGGTAAAAAATTTGATTGTTCATCTTCTAAACGGACCGAACATTTTTTTCTTCTTCTTCTGTTGCAGCTAGCCGGCACCATCTTGGCATATTCGCATTTGTTGCGCTTTTCGTTCACCTCAATTAAAAGCGGCATGATGGGAGAGCGAGCGTGGAAAGACAAACAAGCATTCGCCGGTTGCCGTTTCATCGTTCCAATTTTCTGTGTCACAAACTCGATGTTGCAGACATTTTCGATTACGGTGGCATCCTCCACAACAAATCCGAATTAAGTTAGACAGAATTCCATTTTAATTAAAATGTTAAAAATAAACGATTCTTCACCCATTTCAGCTAATGACGAATTTACAATTTTTGACGTTATATTTGAATATTTGTTGTTGTGCGTGGCAATTGCATCGGTATATTTTTAAAGTGATGCCGACAAGAGGGAGAGAGAAAGAGAGAGAGAGAGAGAGAGAGAAAAGCACACGAACGATAAACACCAATGTAATATTGGTTGGCCAAATATTAAATGTACAAAGCCGAAGATTTACAAAATATGGCATGTGTCGCAATCGTTTTAGTCGCTAGTGAAGATAGCAATGGCTTTCACATTTTGACTTTAACTCAATTTTACGCGCCACTGATCGTATCCGCGATATCGTTATGGAGATGCGTTTGTGAAGCATACAATCGCTGTTTGTTACCCAACCTATTCGTGACAAACACTCGGAAAACCAAGTCGAACTAAACTGTGACTGGCTCTTTGTCAAATGCAGTATACCAAAGACGTCAAATTTTGAGGAGAGCTCAATGGAAATCAGGTGCTTCGCCGAAAAGAATGACTATGAGAGCGCTCAGATTGCTTACACGTTGACATTACACATCAGTTAGCAATGAGATTCAGCTGTGTGTGTTTGTATACTTAATTTTACGCTCGAACATACTTAATGGCCGATCATTTTAGCTTTTATCATAAGCGAATTTTGGCTGACGCTTTTGATCAAATGATTACGACTTCATTTCAAATGATGTTTTAAATAATTTTATTCAGATAGAATTTTATAGGATCCAACGTCGGAATGAATCAAGCAATATAACATTTGACATCGTGCTCACACAGTGATTTCGGCCAAATTAATCCAATTATAATTATATGTGTTTCCATTGAAAATGGTCCTCGTTTCACATAAATGTGAATAATTTTTATTTTGTAACGTAAGATTAAGTCCATCTCCTATAAAATGAATCTTGAATTTGTCGCGCAATTTGAACACATCACATACTTTAATTCAAATTAGAGTTTACATCGTTTTACGCAGAAAATTAAAATAATGCATCAATATTAAAAGGCTCAAATGGTTTAGTCAATGACAGCCCAAACATTTTTATTCAGGATTAAAAATCCTGCCAAAATTATTTATGACTAGTAATTTATATGTGTTTGCACCAATAATAATTTGCTGAAATTTTCAACCTAATTTCATTTCAATTTTCAACTGCGAAGCGTAACAAATTCTAAAATATAACATTGGACACAGTGTGTAATCAATGACATGGGGCATGCTATATGTAGATAAATGTCCTCATCTAAAATTCGACGGGAAAAGTATTTATTGTCATTAGAGGGACGGAAAACTTTAAATATTATGCTCGGTTGCCACTGAATTTTTGCCAATAAATAAATGTTTCATGTGTACGACATGCACACATTGCTGCGTATATTGAAAATAATTGAATGTTTTTTTTCCTATCGATTTATTGGTATCTTTGTGATAATATTGCCGTTGAAGAAGAATACTCTATGCTACATATACAGTGTGG